GGTAACCTGGTTGCCGAGTTCACGAAGTGAATTGGCTTGTTTTACAACGTCGTTGCCAAGCGACGAAAACCAGATTAGGGGGGGGACGGATGGGAAAGGGAAAAAGCAGGCTGTTAGGTGCGTTCGCTGTTTTTTTTTTTCGCTTTTCGAGTTTCCGAAATTCCTTCTTTCAACGTTTCACCGCCTGGCCTTGGTGGTGAAAGACAGAAACGTGGAAAAAAAGGTCCGCCACACACGTAGGTCATACACATACCATTGGGTTGGAATAGGAGGACTATGGCAAGGCGAACCACAGAGAAACGTACCGCCACGAAGAAGACGAGGGCAGCGAGCACGTCGCGGAAGGCCGGGGATGCTGCGGCGTCTGGATCGGGCGTGGTGAAGAAGGTTAAGCGAGCGGCGGCCAAAAAGGCAGGAGCGTCCTCTCAACCACAGGGTCTGCCTCCTCGCCCTCCCGCGCGCGGCGCTACTCGCGGCTCTGTGCGGTCCGCGGGCGCCACGCGGTCCGCGCTCGGAGATAAGCCCCCCGGTGATGCAGGGGATGGTAGGAGGACTTCGCCGAGGAAGGGCAAAGATGCTGCAGGCGGGGACAAGGAGAGCGTCGCTGCAGCGGTGCTTTTGGGTCTTCATGCGCCGGGCGTCGAGGAAGGCCCCTTCGTGCAAGACCATGATGCAGGGCTCTCCGGCGACAAGGGATCCCTCCCTGCTTCACCGGCAGCATCAGGTCGGGTGTTGCGTGGGTCATCGCTGCCGCAGGGTGGATATCGTGCGCTAAATGGTAGCCCTGCTCGGGGCGACTCGGGGGTTGCCACGAAGAAGAGAAACGGCTCTTCCTCCACTACCACAGCAGCAGCAGAAGCAGCAGCAGCAGCAGCAGCAGCAGCAGCAGCAGCAGCCGGCACTATGGTCGCGCATGGGGGGACCGCCCGTCCGTTAGTCAAGCAGAGAATCGCCACACTCCAAGATGTCCTAGACGAGCCGGATGGAGGTTCCTCCGCGGCACCCTTGCGTGCGGAGGTTGGGGACTTTGCGGATGCATCGCTCCAGGGTAGGAGCGGCAAGGGCAAGCGACCCGCACGCGCCCCGCGCATGGAGGACGAGACAGCCGGCCAAGACGAGGAGGAGGAAGAAGACGAGGAGGAAGATGAGGAAGACGATGACGCGGGTGGCCGTGAAGTGGGAGACTCTGAAGAGGAAGAGGGTGGAGTCCAGCAGAACAAGGTGAGAATGGGTTCTGCATTGTGCCATATGTAATAGGCCTGTCCTCCATCGGCCGTTTTGCTTGTATGACGGAGAATAAGAAGGTGGAATTACTTGAAATTTGTATAGAAATAAAGTTTGTGTATCTAAATCGAAAATAAAACGGCCGATGGAGGACAGGCCTGCATACCATATTTAGGTGATCTACGGCAGTATGCGGCCGATATTCTGGCGGTGTTTAAATTTTGAATTCTGGAGCGCTTTATTGCACTTGAAACACATGTGTCCTGTACCCTGTACCAAAAACATGCATGTGGAAACTACTTGCGTGGACACTGTTTTGAACGACACACTGTCACCTCCGATCTGGTGGTATACTATACATGCATAGACCCGGTATTTTGATTGCTGTTTTTTTTTTGAGTAATTGAATTTGGTGTTTACTATTTTCAAGGTTTGAACCGACACTCGCGTACGCTGTGTCTCGGATCCCAACTGGTTGCCACTCTGTCGTCAGTCTTGTGCATTCTGTGTGTATTTGTTTTTCGGCTTAATCCGTTCACACGGCGACATCTTTTGCCACCTCTTTCTTGTCCGTACATCTGCTGCAAACAGATCCTATATCATAGTGTGGGTAGGGTAACAGCAGAGTCTTGTAGCCTTCGTTTGGTGTCCCGGTTGAACGATCCTATAATCTCCGGCCTGCTACTTGTAGGGAATACGGCCTCCCCCGCCCCCCCCCCCCNCCCCCCCCCCCCCCCCCCCCCCGGCACCGTAGCCATTAATGCTGCGGCGTTGTGAGGGGCCCGCAGCGGTGATTGCCTTTCAGATGCCACCAGATTGAAACCACAGAGACATGTTTACGAGATTGTGCTGTACGTGCCGCACATGAAGACAGCAATGGTGCCTACAACTCCCTGGGGCGCTTGTCTCGCTACCATGCACTTCGCTCCATTTTAATCTTACACTATTGTCTGCCTTTGGTGTGGGATTGCAGGAGTCCTGGAAGTATGAGACTCTGGAGAAGGAGGTCATCTTACAGGTTGTCCTCGAGCGCTTGGGAGACAGGATTTATGTGAGTTCGGCACTAGACGTTAGATGGCAGCTACAAAACTTGTGCTATGCTATTGAGAACGGGTTTGTGAGTGCTCTTTGAGTGCTCTTGTGAATTTCAAGGGTTGCCGTAAGGATCAGTAAACCGGGTGCTATCGAAGATGATTTCTTTTTTTCTTGTCTTGCTTCGCGCTCCGAGGTACTGTCTCTCCGACCTGTGCGACTCCAGATGAAATAGACTCTTATGTATCCCCTGGGGCTAAGGCTATCTCAGAATACGTTCCCGGAACGTTCTTGCGCAATGTTGCGGTTAATAGGTTTATTTACATTTGTCCGGAATCTACTGTACTATAGTCGGCAAATGCAGCAAGGGACATTCTCACGCGGTATGTTCGTTCGCGGTTGAGACCCAGGAGTTTGGCCCTTTTCATGCCCTAACCAGATGGGTGCAAGGGTTGGCCGTGTATAACAGGGGTAGCAGCTCATTTAATGCCCCGTGCCCACTTGCAAGAACCCCAGTCGCGGACTCGGGGTGACTCATCGCACTCGGTGCACGCTGCGGGCTCAGTACAACGATAAGATTTGATCGTGTCTTTGAGCGCAACCTGATGCCATCTCTAATACCCCCCCTTCCTTTCATCTTTCTTTACATTACAATACGTCCCGGGATACCATTAGTACGCTCCAATGTCTGCACTGATCCAAGATCCACGGACGCCTTCTGTGGTGACGCGCATTTCTAGACTAAAGGGCCGTACACCTTTCTATAAATAGATATCAAACGATAAAATGATGGTCTTCAAAATGTCTTAGCCAAGCGATCGACCCCTATCAAGAAAGGGTGAAAGCAAGCAAGGAAAAGTGAGACACTGGAAGGAAACAATATGGGAGAGTGACAGGTGGGTTGTACAGTGCTCCATACAAGATCTACAACAGGCACTGGGATCCTCGAACATGTGGTGGAACTGTCGGCGCAACGAGAATTACGTCCGCATTGGCACAATGATTCGCGTGACTCTATGTATGGTCTGACGACTTTAATCCCATGCTAACTTTTGCACCGTATGCTCTGCTCCGTGCTGAAATCGCCTTGCCCGAACGTCGTATCGTCACAGGGGAAGGAGTTCAGTTGCGGCAAGGGCTACCAATACGAACAGTGGTACTCTCGGGTCGCGCAATACGTCAAGATCGAGCTGGCCAAGAACAAGGCTTACATGCAGACCCACGGATCTCTGCTGGAGGAACGCTTCGGGAGGGCGGAAATGAAACACCTCAGGGACTGGTTCGTCGCGCAGAAGGGGAATTACATCACAGCCATGAAGAAGCAAGGTACGGGCTCGGAAGGAGGCAGGATTCAGAGGTCTCCCAACAAATTCCAGCAGCTGAGGTCCCACATCTTCTCCGGCAACGCTGCTGCAAACAAGCGGAAGTTTATGCGGGAGGTTGTCAATGTTGAGAACGGGAAGCGCCCTAAGGTCGCGCCTGCACGTGCCAGTGGTGCGGCTGGTGCCTCGGGTGGTGGCGCCAGTAGTGGTCAGGGTGGGGGAAAGGGGAAGGGGAAACAGCGCAAGATGGCTAGACTTAACGGCGGAGGTGGCGGCACGAGCGGGGAATCCCAAGCACCCGGTGGCGACGACTCGGCGGGGGAAGGTAGCGGCGGAAAAAAAAAGAAAAGTCGTCGGAAGGCAGCGCCGGTGGCGGTGGAGGAGGATGACCAGGAGGATCCCCCGATGGACGTAGGCGGAGATGACTGGGCCCCCTCGGAATCGGAGGACGAAGAGGAACTGCGCAGCCGAGGGGGGGTTTGTGGAGAGGGTGGTATGTCTGACCGCGACTTGCAAGACGTGGCTGACGACAGCTCACCAGACGTGGTGGAAGTAAAGCGCAACGGTCGCCGCAGGAAATCTGATAAGTTCGATCCGAAAAGTTTCCAGCTCGAGGCAAGGAAGGAGAGAGACGCACGTCACAAGGCGTTCACGGCCACCATGCTACAAGGCGTAGGAATGATCCTCGGCGGGCGCGGGCAGAAGGACGGGTCAGGCCCCGCCGATAGTGCCGGTGGTACGTCTGGCGTGGATCGGGGGAAGATGGAGGCGGCGGAGAAATCAGTTTCCCTTCTCAGAAGCAGTTGGATGGACTCGATTTTGGCCGCGGATAAAGGGTACGGCAGTCAGACCGAAGTAAAAGAGAAGTACGAGCTATACCAAGCAGCCGTTGCCCGGCAGCAGGCCTTGATCTCCGCAGTCGACGACGGGTGATGTTTGCCTGTCTTTGGCGTAGGTCTGACTTTTGTCGTGCTGCGTTCGCGTGCCAGGAAGCGTGGGTTGGTGGATGTATTCCTTGTGGAGAGCAAGGTTAGGGGATGGTGCCTGATTGTTTGTGGGCCTTAATCAGTGGGGAAAGGCGTAGTGGTTGGAAAAGCGATCGGAATGCTGTTGCGTTTTCTTGTAGACATTGGCGCCGATTGTAGGCGTAAAGGGTTAGGGTTCTTACCGGGCATAGGGAAGGGGCGGGGAGTCAACGGACGAACAAGTTAGGAGGGTGTTACGGTGTTTGCCATTGCCACAGGGGCTGGGAGTATGATGTTTGGCGGGGGTGCGGGCTGGTGTCGGTGTGTCCGTGAGAGCGTTGGCGGTATCGGTTGCTTACGTTGAGGGGAGGGTGGGCATGGTACTTTACGTCGTAGGTCCGAGATTGTTTTATGCCGGCATTTATTGTTTCTAGTCTTTTTTTTTTCGGTAGACTATAAGTGAGTTTGTGCCGGAGGACATGTAATACCTTCGGTACGCTGGGGGGTCGGAGGAGCAGGGGGGTGCATAGGTTTAAGCGCAGGCCTGCGGGTTAGTCAATATACTTCACCATTTTTCTTGTTCGGATGCATGCACTGCTTTTTTTTTCTCCTCCTTTTTCCTTTTACCAATTTCTTTTCCGTTTCTTATTCTTTCCACGATATAGGGCTACCTCGCATGGCATGTAGAGGCGAGCGGAGTGGCCTCGACTGTCTGCCGTTGACGTTCATTGTCTTGCGGACGGGTCCTATTTCTTTGGTAACCTTGTTTGGGTAAGCTAGCCTGTGACCACGGGAATCGACCCCGTCAAGTGTTAGACGGTTACGGACAGATGAAGGTGCTGGGCAGAGAGAACGGAACGGTATTTAATGTGAGTACAACAACAACAGCAACGACGACAGGAATTTACTGCTGTTTCGATATTTTGGTCCGAGTTGTTCAAATACTCTACGGATTTGCATGCCCGTGGACAGTGTCTTCGCTTGTCGTTGCTTCCTATCTCTCGAATGGTCTGGGTGCGTTATGTTAGATAGATACAACCCGGAGCTGGAAAAAGTAGCGGGTAAAGTCTTCCTTCCATATATGTATTTTTTAGTTGTTATTCCTCTTGGTCGGTTGCTTGTCTGGTGCTTCCCTTTTGTCATGTGCCACTCACTAGGAATGGTAACCGAGGACTGTGTTTTCGGAGAGTGATTCACCTGTGACCATGTGCGGCGCTGGCGTACTTGTAGGATGTTTGGTTCGTGGATCATTATTTGCGACGGCTACAAGTTGCAATGTGAACATGACAGGGCGTTTTATTTCTTTAGGTGCGGACTGCGATACGCACCCACGCTCTAGGGCTCGGGCTTCGAAGTTTTGGTTTGCGTCCAGGAACACGAGACATCCTGTGCAGCTAAGTCCGTTGGCTTCGACTCTACGTTGCGGTTCTTATAAAATATGTTGTTATTTTTCCTCGACGTTCACCGTATCATGACACTTGTTACTGTGCGGCGGGGTGCCCCTCCTACAACATGATAGATACGCACGTTCTCCCGTTGTGTCGACACACCTTTAGTAGGCTGGTGCTGCAGGGCTTGTGGGGTGCAAAACGTCTGGACCTAAGCGCACCGTATGCATCGAATAATTGACGCCCACTCGGCCACTGCTGTAGTCAAAAGGCTTTATTTTGTATTCGGACATTATTGGTCTCCGTTACAACGTTACAAGCCTACCTGATGCACACCCTAATGGTGCAAACATTCAACCGAATCTCAACGTTTGATGCTAAGGTTAAGTGGTAACACCACCCTATTGCACGATTCGCCCCTAGCTCGCTCATTTTACTCCATATCACAATACCTCCTGTCCTCTAAATGCCCCAACACTTGCGCGGGTTGACTCAACGTGAACTCATATGCATAAGGCCACATGTATGCCACACAATAAGTGATCCCCAGGCGGCCTGTTCCCTGTCCCCGTAACTATACTCTAGCCAAGGAAAACTCAAGACAAAAACACACAGGTAGACATAACAGATTATAACCCCACGAGTCTCAGTGTATCAACGCGCTGTGCCGTTGTTCCTCCTCGCACACCTCTCGCCTTGTAAGCGTGCTTGGTCCATTCGCGAGCCTGCAGCTCCCCACTCCCTCTGCAGGAAATTGCGGCGGAGGTAGTCGACCTCCCTGGCCCTCTCAGAATCGAAGGGGCCGGCACCCTGCGACAGTGCGCGTCCAGTGCCGTTCCTCGTCGGGGCGTNTATCAACGCGCTGTGCCGTTGTTCCTCCTCGCATGCCTCTCGTCTTGTAAGCGTGCTTGGTCCATTCGCGAGCATGCAGCTTCCCACTCCCTCTGCAGGAAATTGCGGCGGAGGTAGTCGACCTCCCTGGCCCTCTCAGAATCGAAGGGGCCGGCACCCTTCGACAGTGCGCGTCCAGTGCCGTTCCTCGTCGGGGCGTCGTCAACTCCGTGGTCGGCAGGTGATTCGCCTTCGCACATGAAGATGAAGTTGTGCAGGATGACACACGCGTTGACGATCGTCGGGCAGTGGTCGAGGTGGCAGTCCAAACCATTCAGAAGAGCACGGAACTTCTTCTTCAGGCGCCCGAAAGCATGCTCTACGCGGAAGCGCATGCTCGAATGCTTGTAGTTGAAAAATCGTTCCGCCCTGTTGTCGGGTTTCCCGATTGGCGTGCGCATCCATGGAGACTCAGCGAATGCAGAGTCCCCCAGGATGCACGCGCCGTTGGCGAACAGCTGTCTGCTGCTCACTGGCTGTGCCTGGTCCTCCTGTACCATCTCGTAGAACGCGGTGTCCGTCAAGACCCCGCTGTCGGCGCACGCGCCTGGTGCTCCGGAGCAAAACAAGCGGAACATACCCTCGTTGTCCACGATGGCGAGTAGAGAAATGGAGTAGAAATGCTTGTAATTGTAGTACGAGGTCTGGAGCGAGTCTGGTGGCGCCAGGATCTTGATGTGACTCCCGTCTATGGCTCCGATCACACCCCTACGTTTGGAAAGCAGCGCAGAATTGTGGGACGAGGTGT